CCCCCCCCCCCCCCCCTGCTCCACGGTGGCAGCCCACACCTCAGGCTGGAACATCGGCCCGGTTCCCCCATAGAGTAGGAGCAGGTCGTGTCGTGGCATTTAGCCCCCATTTGAACGTTGGTTGTTGACATGTGATCAGCGGATTGGGGGATCTGGTGATCCGGGCTTCGCAACGCGTGAATGCACATGCACCCACGGAAGGCGCTCTTGTTGTTTCCGGATGCCGCGCGGGCGCGTGTGCGAGCATGCGTGCACAACATCATCCAGGGCAGGAGGGGAGAGGAAAAAGATGTATCGAAGAACAGGAGAATGGGGGGCATTTGAGAATTTCACAAGGTCAAGACGGCCCCACAGGGCAGTGAGGAAAAGAGGACTCCGCTCAGTCCTCGGGTTGGTGACCGAAAATGCGGCCAAGCTGATCGGCACGACCAGCCGCACGCCGAGCCTGGCTGATGGCCACCTGAATGGCTCGCGTCTGTCGGCCACTTTCGCCGCCAGCAGCGGTGTCTATGTCGCTGGGGCCGTCGCTATCGCTGCTGCCGTCGCTGCTGCCGTCGCTGCTGCTGTCGCTGCTGCCGCTGCCGTTGCTGCCGTTGCTGCTGCCGCTGCCACTGCTGTCCCCCGTGTCACTGCTGCTGTGGCCAACACCAACACCGGCGACAGGGAGGACCCCATGGCCCGAGGGCAGGCCCGAACGGAGATCCAATTCCGCACGTTCCATTGGGTCGAAGAAAGCCCCGGCTAGGGTGTCACTGTCGGAGCCGGATGCCAGAGTGCCGGCATCCAACGACAAAAGAGGGCTCGACAGTCGAGGATCCGGGTGGGAAAAGAGCGGCTGCGACTGGGAGTCCCCTTGGCTTGGGTGGAGTAGAGCCCCATCGATGACCTCCTCCGGCTCCTCCTCCGAGGATGAGGGCCCAGTTGACAGGGGCACATCATCCAGCAAGTCGCGTAGGGTCGCGGGAGTGAGCGACCCGCGGCCGGTGGCCAGGCGCTTGGTCACCGGCGCCGCATGCTCCAATACGCCATCACGCGGACGCTTCCCCGGCCCCATGCGGCCGTCCTCCGAGCAGCTCGAGGACCCGGCTGCCGAGAGCTGCATGTTGAAATAGCGCTCAAGAGCGGAATCTGCCCCGGAAGAAGAGGAAGACAGGGGGATGGGTGACATGGCGACCGGCTCGGGGGCCGCACCGGCCGCCGCGGTCGCAGCTGGAGATGCCGCTGCTCCGTCGGCAGCCTCCTCCTCGTCGGAAGGGACATCCAAAACATGGTCCGGCGACTTGTACAACCCTGGCAGACGGGTGGCTGCATGGTGCAGCCGTGGCCGCGGTGGGCCCAGCATGGGATCATCGAAGTGTCCCGGCTCACCGCCGAAGATGCGTTCCATGAAATCCGGCTGCGCGGGCTCCGGATCGAAGAGGAGCCTGTTTCGGCATGGACCCCCCCCCCCAGGAGAACAAGGAAGCACGGGCTCGCGTCAGAAGAGGCCTCCCCAGGAGCATCGGCAATGGTGGAAGGGTGGAAAGCAACTGAAACCGACAAGACACATACCATTGCGGATCGGCCGACCAGATGGCCATCAGTCGACTGGGTTTGGAGAGGACCTCGCGCGGGCGCGCTTGAGCCACCATGCGTAGGGCCTCCGCCACGTGAGTGGCATCCACCTGTGCCGAGTTTCGTAGGGCACGCCGGCGCCAATGCGGAGATGCCAGCCGCGGAGCAGCCAAACGATGTGCCGAGGCCACAGCCAGATGTGCCGCCACCCGGGCCACACGTCGGGCGAACATCCGAGCCGCCAGCGCCAACTGGTTCACCGCACGCGTGGTGATCCACGCGTCCGGGTGCTGTAGATAGAGTCTGTGGGATGGGGGGAAAGCACAAGGAAGAGGGAGGCGCAGCAAAAGGTGGTCAGACAGTGCCCGAAGGATGGGAGCAGGGGGCCGAGCAAATGGGGGCGAGGAAAGAGGGAAAAAAAAAAGGACCACAGGAGGGAGCGCACCGCCGGGCAATGTGCACACAACGATCATGCCGGATCAACGCATCGGGTGGATGGGCCCCTCGAGGCGTCGGCTGGCCGGCCGCCTTGGCAGCACGCAGCCGGGCCCAAGCAAAGGCATCTGCCCGTCGGGCTCGGTTCTCTGCGCGGCGCTGGGCCAGCATCGCCCGATCCTCCTCCAGATACTGGCGCGGGTCATCAGTCAGCCGCATGGGCTGCAGCATGGCCGTCCGCCGGAGAAGATCCCGGCGGAAGGAGAGCTCCGCCTCGACACCCACAGGATCGATTTCCCCCGGGGGCAGCCGGTGGGACCCGGGGCCACTTGGCACCGGGGGATCGGGCCCCGGGTCCGGAAGCGGGGCCTGCTTCAACAGGCCATCGCGCAGATTTTGAAAGAAGAGAACCAACGGCATGCCCGTATGGATGGCCACCTGCGAATCCCCCGGATCACTGTCATGGTCCGAGTCGTACGGGTCCGAGTCCGAGGGTGCATATGCCCCGGTGAGGGCTTGCGCCCGGTGGCGCAGCCGGGCCGGCAGCCGGCTCAACTCACGGCCCGGATCCGCGTCCGAGTCGGAGTCCGGCCGATCCGGCCGGGTCAGGCCGTCGCTCCGGGCACGGCACTCGAGGGACTCGAACTCCAGCGACATGAGCCGACGCGTGTCCAAGGGAGATCGCCGGGAAAAGACCGCCTCCGTCCGACCAAGCCATGGGCTCAGGTGCTGCGGCGCAGGGTGCAGCCGCCCAGACCCGGGGAAGCCCCCGGGCAAAAACCACCGCCCCGGCCGGCTGACCGTCGACCCCACTCGCCGGGGGAAGGTAAAGCTTGCGGCCTGCAGGAGCCGATCGGCGCCAGTGGGATGTGTTCCAAATACCAGGGGCGCCAAGTGGCCCTGCTGCTCGTCGGTCAAATCGCACAAGCTCACGGCTCCGGCCCCAAGACCGGACCAAATGTACTCCGGCCGCGTGAACCTCAGCTGCCGGGTCTCCAGCTGCAGGAACCAGGCCGCGCTGTCCGGATTCGGCAGGGCATGATACACCAGCGGCACAACCGAGCGCCCGAGCGTGCGGAGCAGGCGCAGGACGGAAATCGGCGCCGCCGGGTTGCTGACCACCTCGTGAAAGGCGTCATACAGCTGCCGCAGGAAATCCCAACCGGAGGTGGCTTGATCACCGAACAGCATGCTTGGCCCGGGCCACCGGGGAGCCAAATCCGCATGGGGACCAATGTCATACACCGCCAGGCGCCGGGGATCGTGCGGCGACACCGCCGGCACGCCCCACATCCGCGCAAACTCCTCCGCTTGACTAATCGGGTAATCCCGCGACAGGATCTCCTCCGGGAGGCCCGCCGTGAAGAGAGGCACCCGACGGGGTGATTTCGCGGCTGGCCGCCGGCGCGACGTCGGCGGCGGTAGATACCGACGCTCAACGGTGGCCCGTGTGCCGGCATTCTCCAGATCGGCCTCTGTGGCGATCGGAAGCTCGGACTTGCCTGTGCCCGGCACGGGTGGGCCTCCCGGAGCCGGGAGAGCTGGAAGTACACCATGCGGAGGGGCCTCCGGCTTTCCGGCAAGGTGGCGATCCGGATCATCGGAGTCAAGGCCCGACACTTCGGAGTCGCTTGCCGGCAATTGGGGAAGGCTCTCATCGCTTGGGAGGGAGGAGGAGGAGGAGGAGCCGGAAGACAGTGAATCGGAATCGGAGGACGAGGAGTCGTGGAGGCTGATGTGAGCGGTCGGATCGGCGGACCGGCCGGGCCCACGGCGGAGAGCCCCCTCAAGCAGGCTGCCGTGCCCCTCGAGATCCGACAGGTCGGAATCAGAGGAGTCGCCAGAGTCCACATCGGCATCGCTGGCCCCGGTGCTGCCGGTGTCGCTGCCATCGTGCTTGGCCAGTGCCACCGGGCTCAACCATGGGGATGGGTCCACCCGGCCGGGGCCGGGCATCGGCGACAGGAGCTGGCTCCCGCAAGAGGTACACCGGGGAAGATCCGCCGGGATGAAGCGCCCAAGCGAATAGCGCGCGGTGGGCATATCCTCGGCATTCGGCCAGTGGCAATGCCGCGAGGCATCCAGCGGCAAGGCATCATCAGGGCCGCCGGTTCCACAGGCTCGGCAACACATTCGACAGGTTGGCACCGGAGACACGGCCCCCTCGCCGGTGGGCCCCGGGGCCACATCGCCCCAATTGAAGAGAGCCCGCTCAGCGGCACCACCCACACGCGAAATGCGCCCCGACACGGCGGCCACCGTTCGCCCATAAAGAGCCAACTCGACCGGGGTGCGCCCGGTTTGCGCTGCCAGTCGACCAAGCTCATCCCAGTCAATCACCGATTGGGCGGTCCAGTCGCTGAAACGCCGCCGGTCGGCCGAAAGCCCGACGCCCTCCACGCCGGCCGCCACCAACGGCTTCGGAAGGGGACCAGGATCCAGGGGCCTGCGACATTGTGGCGGCAGGCCAAGCGCCCGACGCAGGCGGAAAGCATGCCCCCGCATCAGCAGCCGCTGGTGGCTGGTCCAGCCGCGCTGGCCGGGCACCCCATTGCGAGTACCCCGGCGAAGGGCCCGCCGGCCGGGAAAGCGGAAGTCCACCACCTCACCCCGTTGGGGACCGAAGGGAATCACTCGTGCAGGGTCACCACCAGGCGGGCCGGAAGCCAAGCCGGCCGAGGTGTCGGTAGATGACTCGATGGAGGATCCACCGCGACTGGAAGCCCTCCACCCCCAGTGACTCAAATACCCGGCATACGCGTGCATATCCCAAATGTACGAGCTTCCGCCGACGCACAGACGGGATTTGGCTTCGGGCAGGGTCTGCGACTGGCGAATTTGAGCCCGGGTTCGAGCGATCCCATGTCGTAAATGGAGAAAGCGCGCATCAGCCAGTCGACCCAGGGGCTCGCTGTATAACCCGGCAAGTCGCCGGGGGGGCTGATTGGCCCGCTCCTGGCGGATTTGTTGCAGCAGGGCGTGCTGGATGTTCCGGAGGGCCGTTCGGTCAGGCACGCCATGGGCAATCACCTGCTGTAGGCGTCCCTGCAGAGCCTTCAGGCGTTGGTTCGGCCCATCCGGCGATTGGGACTCGGCCAAAGGATCGACCTGGCCTGCCGCATCTTCCACCGGGGCATCGTCCTCCCGGATGGGGGCGATCTCCAGACGGAAACCCGGCGCAGGGGGCTCCGCTGCCCCGAAGATGGCGCTCTTTGACTCGGCCATATCCAATGCGTCAGCGTCACGACGCTCTTCCGATCTCATCTTCCACCGGGGCATCGTCCTCCCGGATGGGGGCGATCTCCAGACGGAAACCCGGCGCAGGGGGCTCCGCTGCCCCGAAGATGGCGCTCTTTGACTCGGCCATATCCAATGCGTCAGCGTGGCGGATATTGCCCACGGAGTCGATGGGTGTCGCTGTCGCTGCATATGCCGCGGGGAGCTGCCCCGGTGTCAGAGTGGCGGACAGCGGCACAGCCGCCAAGCCAGCCGCGGAGCTTTGGTTCAGGCCAAAGAGCGGTGACAACATGTCCGGAATCAGCAAGACGCCATCGTCGCTGAGTAAGGCCGGAAACTGGAGGGCCGCCGCTGGCAGTGCGGGCAGATCGGAAGAGCGTCGTGCCCCGGTGTCAGAGTGGCGGACAGCGGCACAGCCGCCAAGCCAGCCGCGGAGCTTTGGTTCAGGCCAAAGAGCGGTGACAACATGTCCGGAATCAGCAAGACGCCATCGTCGCTGAGTAAGGCCGGAAACTGGAGGGCCGCCGCTGGCAGTGCGGGCGAGTAGCGTCGCCCGGCAAACAGCCCATACACCGGCGATTCCTCCACCAAACGCATGGCCTCGATGAAGACACCATGAGGGAGACCAATGAGTGCCAGCAAGCTACCGAGGGGCATACCATCGACCGGGTCCGCAGGGTGGGGCAATCCCAATGGTGGAATGTCCGCCTGGCCTGGCATCCGGCCGAGTTGTGCGCAGCATTGCCAGAATTGCAATGCATTCAACAGCGACAAGCTGCTCAGGCGGCCATCCACCAGCAGTCGACAGGCATCGGCGAGGGTCACACCGGGCGCCTGGCGCCCGGATGATGATGCCGGCCCGGGTCCGGGCGGGGGTCTCCCTTCGATTGTTTCAATGGCAGCACTGAGGTTGATGGGATCACCAAAAGTGATGGTGGCCCGGGTAAGAGCAGCGAGCCTTTGTGTCTCCAGGGTTTGGTTGATGGGTGCCGCGACGGCAGGCGCTGGCCGGCGCCGGGTGAGGGGCACCGAATCGCGTGGCCATTGTAGCGAAGAGATTAGCGGACTGATGGGAGGGATTTTCGGAGAGTCTGGCCTGGTCCAAGCCATGCGCCGTGGCTTTCCCTCGCGGCGTGCGCCATCCGACTCACTTGAATCCATGGTCAAGTCCACCACGCCGTCGCTGGGGGCGATGGCGGCCGCAGTGGCGGTGGCGGTGGCGGTGGCGGTGGTGGTCGTGGCGGTCGTGGTGGTGGTGTTGGCCGTCGTGCGAGGGGGCAGATGCTCGCGCCTGGGTGCCCGGCTGATGGATCGACCCAGGGAGCTCAAGGTGGGGGACTCCATTTTGAAAGGGCGAGTCGATGCTGCCGGTGCCCCGGAGGACGGAAATGACACCACCTCGCCAGCTGACATGATCACCGACAAAAGGGGCGATACTGGGGCAGAAGGGGGCCCAGGCTGCAGGGTGTTCCCAGGGCGAGGGCCGGCTGGGGGCAGTTGCTGTGCGCACATGCTGCGCTCTGCTTCCGAGCCGACATTTTCGCCATTATCCCCAGGCTCGGGCCCGCGACCTCCGGCGGCCATCCGGACTGCCTATTTGCGAGGCTGGCAAAGGCGCAGGAAGGCTGCGTCAGCGCCGAGGAGCCGATGGGACTACTGGTGGACGGGAAGGGAGACGAGGCAGGGAGGAGGAGGAGGAGGAGGAGGAGGAGGAGGAGGAAGAGGAAGAGTACTTTAGGGGCAGTGCCTTCTTCTGGACAGCAATATGCTAACGACCAGCGTGTGTGTGTGTGTGTATGTATGGGAGGCGGGAGAGTTCCGTGAAAGGAGGTGCAAAAGGCGGGGGGGGGGGGGGGGGGGGGG